TCTCACCGACTCAGATCTTTCTCTCTTCCTTCTCATTATATCTTCTGCTGTTGATCCTTGGCCTTTTTCTATCACCGTTTTTTAGCATCAACAACCTCACCGGAAAATCTCTAACAACCACCTTTTAACACTTCTCTTCCTCCTCGTCGATCGTTTTAACCAATCTTTGTGTGTTTCTTGTTTGGTTTTTCGGTGAAAAAAGATTCCTTCTTCTTAATGGGTTTTGAAGAAAACCAAAAACAGAGTCCAAAACAGAGTCCGAATCAGATCAAGCATATGGTGTTCAACTTTCACTTTCATGTTCCTCATCTCCACATACTCCATCATCATCACCATCATCATCATGATGTTCCTAAAGGCTGTGTAGCGATTATGGTGGGACATGAAGACGATGAAGAAGGTCTACACAGATTTGTTGTTCCGTTGGTGTTCTTGAGTCATCCTTTGTTCTTGGATCTCTTGAAAGAAGCTGAAAAAGAGTATGGATTCAAGCACGATGGTCCGATTACTATTCCTTGCCGTGTTGATGAGTTTAAGCATGTTCAAGAAATTATCGACGAGGAGACTCATCGCCGTCATAGTCACGGTGGTCACGGCCACAACAACCATAACCACCACAACAACCATCTCCGATGTTTCTAAAGATCTCTAATTCGATTTGTTGGTTTGCTCTGGTTTGGTTTGACATGTAATTGGTTTGATTTGACAGATTTCTCTTTTGAGATTGTTTAGTTTGCTTAATTTTTTTTTCTTTTAGTTTTAGTTGATGATGATGATGATGATGAAAAAATCAAGAGAGCCATTAAATGTGAATGCTTTTTTTTTAAGAATGTAATCGTGAGGAATAAGGGAATAATCATATTATTTGATTTTTATTTTATTGAAAGGAATGTGAATATTTCTTTCCTTTCTTTATTTTATTTGATTTTAACGCGTTAAATTTGGGCATGGACCATGTTATTTTGTTGTTCTTTTCCTTAAGAGAGATTGCTTTTCTCGTTAGGATTACATTCACGCCAAGTGTCTCGAATATATTAATCTTGTTTTTTTAAAAGATACCACAAAAGCAAATGTATTTTGACTTTGATTGAGATCCGTCACCAATTATATCTACCTCAATTACGGCAGCTTTTTAGATTTGTCAACTAGTTACTGCAATTAAAACGGCCAATTTAAATATACTACAATATTGATGTTGACTACTAAAATAAACAGAGAATCGGTTAGATACTAAACATGATATCGTATCTAAACTGATTTTAACAAAAAATTTGATGTTATGATATTATCTATACGTATATATTTCCGAATTATTCTCACATCTAATTTATAATATCATAAACTAAAAATATGTTCACATTAACCCAAAAAAAAAAAAAAACTAAGAGTTTAAAGATTACACTTGTAAGCGGTGAGTTCTTCTCTTTCTCCGTGACCCTATCCTGATTAGTCTAAAGATTGTTTAAATTATCTCTATCATCTTTGTTATTATGCTTTTGCCTCTGTCACGATGGAACTATGAATGTTTTGAGTCTTTCGGTGAAAGGTGATGCTACTTTATTTATGGGTTTAATCTGGTTCAATGAAGATTTTGAAAATTTTCTTCATAATACTTGAACTAAACGAGAAGTTTATTAGCTTTGGTTGCAAGTTATGTGTCCTTTATTATCCTTGCAGCCAAATTGTCTCTCTAAACTTGCGTTTTTAACTTTTTGCTTACAGATTTCGTTGTTTTGAAAATTTTCTTACAGAAGAAAGCACATTGTTAGTAGATGGAAATGTCGAGTAAGAGATTGAAGAAAGATAGGATAAGCCAATTACCGGTCACTTTGATATGCCACATACTTAATCATCTTCCTTCCAAGGAAGTTGTTAGAACAAGTGTTTTATCCACCACATGGAGAAGTCTTTGGCTTTGGGTTCCTAGTTTGGAATTGGATTCCAAAAAATTCCAAGATTTCAATGCATGCCTTTGTGAGTTTTGGTGACAGGTATTTGGATTATGATAGAGTTTCATGCATAGACAAAGTCAAGCTAACTATTGATGAAAGCCACGGTGGTGTAGATGATATGTCTTATTTCACATCATGGATTGATGCTTTAGTTAAACGTAGGATCACACATCTAGACATTAAGTGTCTTCTGGATTTTGAGTATCATGAGATGCCCCTAACCTTTTATATATGCAAGACACTCGTATACCTACAACTTGCTCGGGTGAGCTTTGATGATGTCGAGATTGTTTCTTTACCTTGTCTGAAGACTATGCATTTAAAAGATAACATGTATCCCAATGAAGCTACTTTTGAGAGACTTGTCTCATCATGTCCCGTATTGGAAGAGTTAAAGATTGTTGGATGTTTGAATGATAATGCAAAAGTCTTGCGGGTGCTCTCTAGGTCATTGATAAGGCTTATTATAAGAATACGCTTTTCTCAGCAAGATTCTGGTTCCGGAATTGTGATTGATGCTCCTCATTTACGCTTTTTGAGTATTTATGATTACTTATCAGAAAGCTTTAGAATAACCAATATGGATTCCAATGCCAAGTTAGATATTTCTCTTGTCATTCCATCAAAGAGAAATAACATCCGCAGTTTCTTACTCGGGATTTCGAGGGTCAGAGATATGACGATATGTTCAAAGACTATGAAGGTTTATGTATGTCAATGTATGTCTTCGTACGTAAAGTTTCTATTATGAACGTTTATCACTCATAATATTTTCATGTTTTGGTTCCAGATTATCCATGAATATGTGACATTTGAACTGTTGCCTCTATTTGGTTGCGTGTCCCGCCTATGTGTTACTCTCTGTGTATTCGATTTGAATTGGTTGCCACTTTTTCTCGTGAGCTGTCCGAATCTGAAATCTCTTATCTTGGTGAGGAAATCTAATACAAAGCCTTATAAGTTGAAGACTATGCTTATCTTTTCATTGTGTTTTAATTTCTCTTCTCTTTTTTTTTTCCTCAGAAATGGGAAGATAGCTCAAAGTAGTTGGAGTTGATGAATTCATTCGGATTTTCATCTGTGCCAAAGTGTTTGTTATTGTCTCTCGAGTTTGTTGATTTGGAAACAAGCATCTTAGGATATGCTTCAGAAATGGAGCTAGTAAAGTACTTTCTAGTGAATTCGGCAATCCTCAAAAAACTCACTCTACGTTTGCACTACTATGCAAGAAGACAATATGATATCTTCAACAAACTCCTCAAAATCCCAAAACGCTCTATCCCATGTCAAGTCGTCGTATCACATGGCTCTGAGCAGTTTTATATGTGAAGACTATTCAGTCAACTTCCATTAATTAGTATGTATGTAGTTATTCATTTTATGAATCTTTTATTTACATTAAACATAGATGCTATTCAATGGTAATTTTTTTTTTTTTTTTTTTAATGGTTATGTTAATAGGTGATATAAGAACGAGCGTGGTGATTGATGGAGAAGCTGTTGCTGGACTAAGGTCACTCTCAACAGATTCGAATGGAAGGGAAGATGAAGATAGAAGTGAATAGATGGTGAAACTGTCGCTGGACTAAGGTCACTCTCAACAGATTCGATAGAGATGGAGATGGATAGTTGGATGGATCGAAGTTCGCCACACAAAGCTGCGGAATGACTTTGTGATAAGAACACAAATCAATATCTAAGGGCTTGATTGGTTCTCCATCTAGCACCCGCCTAGCGGTTGCTAGCGGTCAGTTGCGGTTGTTAGCGGTTGGTACCAATCATAGAAATCGCTCCATACCGCTTCGAACCGCTCCAAATCGCTGGATTTTAAAAGCTCCTTCCCGCAAGCGTTTGCGGTTGCGGGCGGTAGCGGTTGGAATTAAAAAAAAAAAAAAAAGACGTTTACTTATAATTATTATAATATATATCAATCCTATACTTATAATCTTGTATTAAAATTTCTTTATTTTTGAATAATTATTTAGTACTTTATTTATGGTTTTAATTATTAAGCATGTTCAATTTTTCTAATATTATCATATAATAATATATTGGTGTTTTAATTTCTTTTTTAGTAATATTTCTTATTTATTTTGGTCATTTTTTTATTTAACTGCTACCGCACCCGCTGGTTTACCAGTCATAAAACTCCCGCAAACGCATCAATTTTCAAACGCTAAACCAGTCGTTCAAAACGCTTGGTAACGCTTGAACCCGCAACTGCCCGCTTCTGCAAACTCCCGCAACCGCTACCGCAACCGCTGCGTTTAAACTAGTCAGGCCTTAAGTGAATCGCATACAAAGATAAAGATTCCACTTGTTTTCTAAAGGAATCACACACAATAGAAAAAAAACAAGTAAAACAAAAGCCTAAGCTTTTAAAAGTGAGAAACTCTCTCTTTATTTTTTTCCAAAAATCTATATATTTACAATGAAAGGAAACATGAGCTTATATAGGCTCAATTTACAAATCAATAACATAAGTACAAAATAAATCAAATTAATTACATGAATCAATCAAGAATAAATTTGAGAGATTTTATCAATCATCATTGATGGAGATTGATTCTTTGTATCTAGACACTTTCTTGATATAGCCATGAATTGATTGTCTTCTAGAAACTTCTTTATAATTTGATCTTGATTTTCTTTGAATCAATCCTTGATGAGTCATGGATATTTCTAGGACTACAACAATAGGTGTCTCTGAACAAATTATGATCGCGACGAGGAAAAAAAATAGAAAAATCATCCATGAAAATGTTGCCAACCATTCTAATTAAAGATGTGCACATTAGAAAACTTAGATGTAACTTATGTTTTGAAAACAAATTTGTATGATCGCTACGAAAAGAAAATCATCCAGGAAAATTAATAAACATTTAATTACGGCCCATATGAAAAACAATTTTAACCAAACCTGACTTGTTATGTTGGAATGTTGGGCTTTTGTGTAACAAAACAAACACTCATTATATAGAAGAACATAACTATACAGACTCCAGGTTTCAAGGAATTGCAGCGAGTTCTGGTAGTGATATTCCAATCCCGTCAGTGAAATTACGATCAAATTCCGGCAAGTGATTGCATTCCGCCGGCCAAAACACTGTAAGTTCTTCTTATTTTTACCTTTCTTGTTGTAACATCATCTTCATAAGACTTTGAAAACCCTAACCCTAACATATGTGGTTCGTCGTCTCTTAATCTCTCACTCTAATTACTTTTGCATATGTCACGATGAATCTTATTCGTCTTCTTGCAAATTTTGATGTTAATTTATGGGTTTTGAATAAATTATATTCACTGGAATTTGGACCTATCGAGAGAGTTGGTTGCAAGCTATGTGTCCCTATTAACTTCGCATCTGAAAACTTTGCGTTTTTTTTAGCAGAATAGTTTCTACAAAAGAAATCAACACATGGTTGGTAGAGGGAAATCAAAACAGGCTCGTGTCAACGAGTTGAGTAGTAGGTTGAAGGAAGATAGAATAAGCCAGTTACCTGATCATTTGATATTATATCACATACTTGATCATCTTCCCATAAAGGACTTAGTTACCACAAGCGTTTTATCCACCAGATGGAGAAGTCTCTGGCTTTCGGTTCCTTGTTTGAAACTGAAATCGAGAAAATTCTCAAACTCCATATCTTTTGTGAGTTTTGGTGACATGTTTTTCAATTCCGATCCGGCTTCAAAGACCTGCAGGAAATTGATCATATATCTAGAGACTTTCAAGGTACATCTTCGTCAATGCATTTATTGGTATGACATGTAAAATCATGTGCATTGGTGCGTCTCTCACCTACAAAAGAGAGAGACTATGGTGAGAGATTCTCATTGCACTTGGTTTAAGCTTTTCTATAATTAAAAGTTTCTTGTAATCCATAGTAGTTTATGTCATGGTTTCAGGTCATTCATCACTATTCCAAAGTAAAACCATTGCCTCAATTTGATTACATGTCCCGCCTGGAAATTACGCTCTTTGCATCCGATTTAAAATGGTTGCCAACTTTTCTTGAGCACTGCCCGAATCTTAAATCCCTCGAATTGGTGATGATCTGCAATAAACCCTATGATTTGATCTCGTCTCTAAGATGATTCCGCATATTTTTTCATTGTGTGTTTGTCCTCTTTTTATTTTCCTTAGGTATTGGATCATCAATCTAGGAAGATCTATTCTAAGGAGAGGAATCAGATCAGTTTTTCAGCTGTGCCTCAATGTTTCTTTTCGTCGCTCGAGTTTGTTGAAATCACAAACAATATCAGGGGATATGCTGCAGACATGTTTCTGAATCTAGTAAGTTACTTTTTGGAGAATTCAGCAATCCTCAAGAAACTGAATCTACATTCATGTTCCAATGATCGTGCATACAAATATATCTTCAAGAAACTCCTGAGCATCCCAAGACGCTCCCCGGGTTGTGCACTCCTCTTTTCTAGAAAGAACATGTGAAGCTTGTCTTTTGACAGGTTTAGTCTTGTCTCCCCGGGATGTTTTTTTATGCAATGAAGTTTATTACTCTTTCTTATAAGGAACTTGGCAAGGTTTTTACTTTTTACTCTTTCTTAATGAGTTTTTGACTTTCTATATAACAAAAAAGAGCATACTATAGAAAAGGGATAACTAATAATTAAATTAAATAAATAAGAATGACTAACTTGGTTCTTTTGAACCAAACTCTCAGTTCTCTTATTTCCGGTTTAGTTATGTAAACCAATGAGCAGATGCAATAATTAATATATGTAGATTTTTAGCCATTTCTGGAAAATCAATCAAAAACAGCTTCATCTTCCTCTCTATCCCTTTCTCTCAATCATAATTCCTCGAATCCTCGGTTGTTCCGGCGAGTGTTTCCATTTCGTTCGATCAAAAACAATGTAAGTTCTTCTTCTTCTTACTTGACCTTTTTATTATTGTTGTGAAATCATACTCATTAAGACTTTGAAAAAACCCTAGCCTGATTTAAGTCTCAATATGGTTTAGTTTCTCTGTCACTGGAAGTTAAATTGAAAGAGAGTTTTGATTAGCGTTGATTGCAAATTATGTGTGCTTATTGTCTCTCTCTAACTTTTTTTTCAATTTTGTTAAGCAGAATATTTTCTAGAGAAGAAAAGAAATGTTTGGTAGATGGAAATCCAAACAAACTTGTTCCACAAGGTTGGATGAAGATAGGTTAAGCCAATTACCAGATTCTTTAATCTGTCACATACTTTCTCATCTTCCCACAAAGGAAGCTGTTAAGACGAGTGTTTTATCCATCAGATGGAGAGATCTCTGGCTTTTGGTTTCACGTTTGGAGTTAGATTCTCATGAATTCCCAGAGTTCAAAGCCTTTGTGAGTTTTGGTGCCAGGTTTTTCCACTCGGATAGGGTTTCATACATACACAAGCTGGAGTTAAGTATTTATGATACTAGATATTTAGCTAGTGTAGATCATGATCCCTCTTATCTCTTACCATGGATTGATGCATCAGTTAAGCGTAAGATCCAACATCTACATGTTCGGTGTCATCGAGAAGTTGAAGTTCCATATGAGTTATTTTATGAGATGCCTCTAAGCCTTTGTGTCTGTGAGTCACTGGTCTCCTTAAAACTTCATATGGTGGCCTTAGCTGATGCCGAGTTTTGTTCCTTACCTTGTTTGAAAACTATGTGCTTAAAAACTGTTTGGTATCCCAATGAGACCATGTTTGGGAGACTTGTCTCATCTTGCCCTGTCCTGGAGGAGTTAGAGATTGCAACATGTGTAGTTGACAATGGAAAAGTCTTTCGAGTGCTCTCTAGGTCGTTGAAGAAGCTAGCTATACGCTATTTTGCGCGTATTGTTGGTTCAGAAACTGTGATTGATGCTCCTAAACTATGCTTTTTGAGAATCGATGGGAACTTATCAGAAAACTTTATGATAACCAATATGGATTCCAACTTCAAGTTAGATATTTCTCTCGGCTTTGGTTTACGGTTAACTGATCAAGGAAGTAAATTCCAAAGTTTTCTCCTCGGGATTTCAAAGGTCAGGGATATGACAATATTGAGAGAGACTTTCAAGGTATATATGTTAATTCTAGTATTCGACATGTAACCTTTCTATCATGAAAGTTTCTAACCCACAATACTTTTGTTTTATGGTTGCAGCTCATATGTGAATACTTGATAATAAAACCGCTGCCTCGGTTTGGTAACATGTCCCGCTTGTGGGTTTCGTTTCGTGTATCTCATTTGAAATGGTTACCAAGATTTCTTGAGAGCTGCCCAAACTTGAAATCACTCATCTTGGTGATGATCTTCTTAACCCAATAAGTGTTTTCATCTCTATATAATTTCCATCGCGTATCTTTTCATTGTGTATTAATTAATCCTCTCTTCTTTCCTTAGGAATGTGTTGGTGATTTTAAGAAAATACCTTTCGAGGAGGAGATGAATCAAATCAGTTTTTCATATGTGCCTGAGTGTTTGTCATCGTCTCTCGAGTTTGTTGATTTCAAAGTCCCAATCCAAGGATGTGCTGGAGACATGAAACTAGTAAGGTACTTCCTAGAGAATTCGGCAATCCTCAAGAAACTCAATCTATATGTGGACCATAATAATTCATCGTCTGTCATCATCTTCAAGGAACTCCTCAGAATCCCAAGAGGGTCTACCAAATGTGAAGTCGTCGTCCTCTGATTGGTAAAGAGTAGAGAGAATATTGTGAGGTTTTGTGATTTTGTCTAAAGCTAGCACAAAGTGAATATGCATACTAGTTTCAGGGTTTGGTTTCTAACTTGTCTGGCAGGTGATATTTATATTTTTAGACCTTTCTCATATAATTTGACTTCTGCTTATCTGTTCTTCAAGTATATATAAACCGTATTTGACCCAAAATAATTTTAAACAAAATGGTTCCGACTTTGTCTGATCCGGGGAAAAAATCAGGATTAGACGAATTTTTAGTATCTGAACAAAATTGGTTATATCGTACATTCCGGTGCGTTCTGCTTGGATTAAACCATTGGTTCAGATCGGACAAAACCGAGTTGGCCTATTTCACACATCTTTAATTCCCTTATACGTAACGTGGCACTGTCTTCTCTCTTCCCTATTTTAAAACCCTAAGCCGACAAAAAAAAAAAACCCTAAGCACATCTATTTGTCTAAGACGAAGACGTTTGATCTACCGTACATTCCGGTGCGTTCTGCTTCTTCTCCTTCTTCTTATTTAACTGCTCCTTGATTTGCTGTCATCTTCAGATTCCTTGAAAGCCCTAAACCTAATTGTTCAATCCCTTGCATGTGTGCTTCTCGATATCTGTTTTATGTAGAGCTGTCCCAATTTATGTGTGTCCGAATTTTCTACTCATCAAGATTAGTTGAATGCTAGCTAGTGTTTTGTGTTGATTGCAAGCTATGGCTACCTATTTACGTCTCATCCAAACAGTTTCTCTGAAACTAGCTTATTCAGTTTTTATATTGTTTTTCATACAGATTTCGTTGTCTGAAAAAGAAAACAAATGGATGGTTCCAAAGGGTTGAGTACTGAGCGATTGAAGGAAGATAGGATAAGCCAGTTACCTGATCCTTTGATATGTCACATTCTTTCCCATCTTCCCACAAAAGAAGCTGTTACCACAAGCGTTTTGTCCACCAGGTGGAGGAGTCTCTGGCTTTGGGTTCCTAATTTGGAATTGGATTCCCGAGATTTCTCTGATTTCAATGCCTTTGCGAGTTTTGGTGACAGGTTTTTCGATTCTGATAGGGTGTCATGCATACACAAACTCAAGTTAGCTATTAATGGAAATGGTGATGGTGTTGATGATACATCTTATATCAAATCATGGATTGATGCTGCAGTTAAGCGTAAGGTCCAACATCTACGTGTTATGTGGTTTGTAAAGTATGGTGAGATGCCCCTAAGCTTTTATGTGTGTGAGACACTGGTATCTTTAAATCTCGTTTGTGTAGCTTTGGATGATGTCGAGTTTGTCTCCTTCCCTCGTCTTAAGACTATGCATTTACTTTGTGTTCGTCTTTCCAAGGATGCCGCTTTTGAGAGATTTATCTCTTGCTGTCCTGTCTTGGAAGACTTAAGAATCGCCGGTTGTGTGAATGAGCCTCTATCCTTTAGGGTGCACTCTCAGTCACTGAAAAGGCTCATTATTGGACGAGGTAATCTTACTCATCAGGTTGATTCTGTCCCAGGAGTTGTCATTGATGCTCCTCAATTATGCTGTTTGAGAATCATTGATCACGTATCAAAAAGCTTCATAGTAAACAATCTGGAGTACAATGCCAAGTTAGAAGTTAATATCACCTTTGGTCTAAAGGTTTCTGACGAAGAAAGCATTTCATCAGGGAGAAGTCTCATCCATAGTTTTCTGTCAGGGATCTTGAAGGTTGGGGATTTGACGATAAATTCAGACACTTTGAAGGTATACATGTATTGGCATACACATATAATGTAATGAAAAGTGTCTAATCCACAATATAATACTCTCTCCCTCTCTGCTTTCAGATCATTTATGACTATTCCAAATCAGAGTCGCTGCCGCAATTTGGTTATATGTCACGCCTATGCGTTTCTGTCATGGCACAATATTTGACATGGTTGGAACCATTTCTTAAGAGCTGCCCGAATCTGAGATCCCTAGTCTTGGTGGTGAATCTGCTAAACCCTTTGATATTTTTCTCATCTCTATGCAGCTTCTTACATATCATTTCATTTTGTTTGATCCTCTCTTTTTTCCTCGACAGTTTCCTAATAGTCTTCCGGAGAGGATGAATCAAATCAACTTTTCATGTGTGCCCAAGTGTTTGCAATCCTCTGTCGAGTTTGTTGATCTCAAATTCCAAATCTCGGGACCTGTTACAGAAATGAAAATGAAGCTAGTAAGGTACTTCTTAGAGAATTCGGCTATACTCAAGAAACTCACTCTACATATGTATTCTAATTCAACAGAAGATGAAATCTTGACGAAACTCTTGCAAATCCCAAGAGCCTCTACCAAATGTGAGGTTGTCATTGTCATAAAGTAAATCGGTTGATGCATGTAGTCTTTCTGAATTTTCAGTGACAGCTCATGTGGTTCTTATATCAGCTCAAATGTTTGAAATCTTCGCAATTTGTCAAATCTCTTCGCTACTAAAACCTAACTTTCGAAGAAGAATTTCAATTGAAAACTAGATTAAATTTGATTCTATATTGCTTACGGTTAAGTGAAAACAAATCTAATCCCAAACCAATATAAAGCCTGATCGATTTATCCTAAATTTTATGGATAGATAGTTTCAAAATCACTAGAAAACTTATTTTCTTCACTAGTCACGTGACCTTATTTAACCAAAAAGACCAGGATTTAACAATCTGAATAAAACTGGGATTTCCGGTTTAGTCCAACCGAAGAGTTGGTTGTTTCTTGGTTCTTTTTTTTGTGAAGGTTGCCTACGTACCCTTGCCATTGACATCAAACTCGTCTCCAATACTTTTTACCAAACAAAACTAAAAATGTTCGAAATGACATTGAGGATAATGGTTTTGTTAAACTTAATAAATCCAAAAGCTAAATGTCAACGTGGAGTCTTTTTAGCTTCATAAAAAATAGTTATTTAAAATTTTGTGAGAGTAAATAAATATCTTTTATGAAACTAAAAATGTCTCATATCGAACATTGACAAAAAAAGAACATTGGTTGTTTCTTGGTTCTTTTTTTTGTGAAGGTTGCCTACGTACCCTTGCCATTGACATCAAACTCGTCTCCAATACTTTTTACCAAACAAAACTAAAAATGTTCGAAATGACATTGAGGATAATGGTTTTGTTAAACTTAATAAATCCAAAAGCTAAATGTCAACGTGGAGTCTTTTTAGCTTCATAAAAAATAGTTATTTAAAATTTTGTGAGAGTAAATAAATATCTTTTATGAAACTAAAAATGTCTCATATCGACGTGGAATCTTCTTAGCTTCACATATAGAGATATTTATCTAAAATTTTGATACTTTTTACAAAAGTAAAAAAGTCCCACATCGAAATTACGAAGAATCAACTAGTGAAGTCATCTCTATAAATACTATTACAAACTGTGTTGTGGACATTCATATAAAATTCGATGAATCTAAAGTCGAATCCTTTGAAACCTAGTAAAATTTTGTAAACAAATCAGCTAGTTGGCCAATTGTTGATTCTAAGTGCTTAATTGCTTTAGGCGGCTGATAAACCAGTCCAACAATTAATGCATGATTTAAGTGTCTAATGGTTTAAAGAGGTCGCAGTAGATATTCTGACCGCCTAATCGGATAGGCGGTCGGAATTTAAATTCCAGGTGCGTTTTTCTTCTTCTTCTTTTTATATTGTCGTTGTTTGATTCTTAGTCATCCATGGGCTTTTATTTCTTCTTCTTCTTCTTTTTTTTTATTATTGTTGCTTGATTCTTTGCCATCCATGAGATTTTAGTTATTCTTCTTCTTCTTTTTATATTGTTTTTTTCTTTTTTTTTTGCTTTTAATCTTTTGATATTGTTGCTTGTTCATCCATGTGCTTTTAGGTATTTTCTTTCACTATACTACTTGATTGAAATTTGGATTAGGGCTGGTCGTAATTTATATGTGTTTGTATCTCTTAGTTTGATGCAAGCTATGTGTCCCTATCTCTTCGAACTTAGATGGTTATTTCTGAAACTTCTAAAATTTAAAATGTAGATCATAGTTGTGTGAAGAAAGAGAAATGGTGGGTAGAGAGAAGAAAACCAAACAAGTCTCAACATTGGAAGATAAGATAAGCCAGTTACCTGAACATTTGATTTCTAAAATACTTTTTCATCTCTCTACCAAGGACGATGTAAGAACAAGTGTTTTGTCCACCAAATGGAGATATCTTTGGCAACAGGTTCCTGGATTGGACTTAGACTCCTACGCATTCTCAAATTTCTATAAATTTGTGAGGTTTGTTGAAAGTTTTATTTATTCAAACAATGAGTCATGGATACGCAAACTCCGGTTATATATTAGTCATGATCATGGTATGTGTGATATCTCGTCATGGATTGATGCTGTGGCTAGGCGTAGGATTCATCATATCGATCTTAGTTTCGATCTCACTTATCAACCTGATAAGATACCACCCTTGACCTTGAGGTTATATACCTGCGAGACACTGGTACACTTACGACTCTATGGAGCCACCTTAGTAGATGCCGAGTTTGTTGCCTTACCTTGTCTTAAGATCCTCCATTTAGAATATGTTAGTTATCCCAATGAGTCCACTTTGGAGAAACTTATATCAGGCTCCCCAGTTCTAAAAGATTTAACCATCATTAGATATCTAGCATATAATGCCAAGGTTTTACGAGTGCGCTCTCAGACGGTAAAGAAAATCCACATTGATCACTCAAGAGTTGTAATTGATGCTCCTTTACTTCAGTCCTTGAGGACTAAGATTTACAAAACAAAGAACTTTGAGATCATTAATTTGGGTTTTTTTACCAAACTAGATATTGATGTTGTCTTTATAAGCCATAGGACATACTATAGTAGCATGATTCATGACATCATCACCGACATATCCATGGTCAAGGAGCTAGTAATTAATAATGGTATTTGGAAGGTATAAATCTCAACGTTGGAATATATAAATGAATATTTTTTCCAAGAAAGTTTCTCACCATAACTATTTTACGTGTTTACTTATGTTACCAGGATATCTTTCTATACTCGAAATCGGGACCGGTGCAACAGTTTCGAAACCTATCCAGCTTGAATGCTGGATTTACTAAAACTGATCTTGAATTATTGCCACTCATTCTTGAGAGTTGCCCAAAACTAGAATCTCTCACATTGGTAATGAAATATATCTCTAATTAAGTAACCGTCTTATTTCCGCTACGCATATCCTCTGTGAATGCTTTTTATGTATCTCTTTACTCAATTTCGTTTCCTCTGTTTTTGAAGGAATTGGTCGAGGATCAATACATGCGTTGTGAGAAGAACAAAGAACCAAATGTGATGTTTTCAACAGTGCCTCAGTGTTTGGTATCATCGCTCAAGTTTGTGGAACTGAAACGTTCTATCCCAATGTATGAAGGAGAAATGGAGCTAGTAAGATACTTGCTGAAGAATTCAACAATCCTGAAGAAACTAAGGCTTGATCTTTACTATTCCCAAAGGGCAATGGGTGACTTCCTGAAAGAGCTCTTTGCGATGCCAAAATGCTCTACCGGTTGTGAAGTCCTTGTTCTTTAATTACTAAAAGATATTGCTGAATATTTTTAGTCGAGTGTTAACCTTTTGGTCGTTACATTGTTTTTTTTTTTATGGAGGATATTTCACTTGGAGCCACAGGTAACTATTGCCGTTAACTCCTTTTGTTGTTTTTTCTTGGTATGAGTTAACTATTGTACTTATGTTACTTGGTGGTTGCTTTTTATGTTACTTGGTGGTTGCTGTTATTTCATGAGAATTTTTTATTTATTTATTTATTTTTTATTTTTTTCATGAGAATTTTTTAAACGAACTTTTTTTTTTCTTTTCTTAACAAACACGTCAAAACTTTCATTAATATGAAGCAGAAAACAATCTCGATGCATTAGAGTTCTGATTTCAATGTATTATAATATTGGGACCTCATCGAGTTCGCTATTTATGATGGTGTACATGTTACGTCTTATATGACGCCATGGATTGATCCAACATCTAGATATTGTGTGTCCTCCCGATCGGCCGATCTTATGTATGATATACCCCTAAGGCTCTATACATGTGGGACACTAGTATCCTTTGAGGTGAACCTAGATGATGTGATGTCGAGTTTTTTTTTTAATCTTGAACGAAAGCTTAAAAAAGATGACAATGGTGAATTCTATTTCTTGTTAAAAGGTTACGGTGACATCACTTTCATATATATAGACTGCTGGCTTTTGATAACACAACAAGTGAGTAGGTTTACATGATCCAAGAGCACATGGCTGTATCGTATTCGTACGAGACTCACAGTCACAGCTTCCGCATGCTCTGCTTTTGCTAACTTAAGGCAATGGAGGAGAAACAGAGGAGGAGATGGGCTTCGCGTTATGGTCTGACAGGCCCATCATGATTATGAGAAACCGCAGCTTTGGTCTGAGGGAGAGTCTTCCGTATATATCTATCCCTTAGCGTTTAAGCTAGAATTTTATTTGGGATCTAGGGTTTTCTACAACAATGGTTGATAGAGAGAAATCGAATCAGATTAGTTGTTCCATAGGGTTTAGTGAGAGATTAGAGGAAGACCAGATAAGTGAATTACCTGATCCTTTGATCTGTCAGATTCTTTCTCATCTTCCCACAAAAGAAGCTGTTACGACAAGCGTTTTGTCCACAAGATGGAGGAGTCTCTGGCTTTCGGTTCTTAGTTTGGTATTGAGCTCCCGAGATTTCTCTGATTTCAATGCCTTTGGGAGTTTTGGTGACAGGTTTTTTGATTCTGATAGAGTTTCATGCCTAGACAAACTGGAGCTAGCTATTAATGGAAATGAGGATAAATCTTATATCATTTCATGGATTGATGCTGCAGTTAAGCGTAAGGTTCAACAGTTCCATCTACGTGTTAAATGTTTTTCAAAGTATGGTTATTGTGGGATGCCCGTAAGCCTTTATGCGTGTGAGACACTGGTATCTTTAAAGCTCGTTTTTGTAACCTTGGATGATGTCGACTTTGTTTCCTTCCCTCGTCTGAAGACTATGCATTTAAGTTATGTTTGGCTTTCCAAGGATGCCACATTTGAGAGATTTATTTCTTGCTGTCCTGTCTTGGAAGACTTAGAAATTTCCAAATGTGCGAATGCTCCTCAACCCTTGCGGGTGTACTCTCGGTCACTAAAAAGGCTCTATATTGGATATGGTTATTCTACTCAGGTTGATTCTGTTCCAGGAGTAGTCATTGATGCTCCTCAATTATGCTTTTTGAGTATCCGTGATTTCAAATCAGAAAGCTTCATAGTAAAAAATCTCAAGTACAATTCCAAGGTAGTAGTTGATGTCACCTTTGGTTTTAAGTTTGCTGACGAAGCCTTTCATCGGGGATAACTCTCATCCGTAGTTTTCTGTCAGGGATCTCCAAGGTTGGGGATTTGACGATATATTGGCAGACTTTCCAGGTATATATATATTGGACATACACATTTTAATATAATGAAAAGTTTCTAACCAACAATACTCTCACTCTCACTCTCTCCCTGCTTTCAGATCATTTATAACTATTCCAAAACAGAATCGCTGCCTCAATTTGGTTATATGTCACGCCTGTGCGTTTCTCTCTCTGCACAACATTTGAAAGGGTTGGCAACATTTCTTGAGAGCTGCCCGAATCTGAAATCTCTAGTCGTGGTGGTAAATCTGCTAGACCTTGCGATAATTTTCTCATCTCTATGCACAACTTCTGTCATATCATTTGATTGTATTTTCTCCTCTCCTTTTTTCTCAGCTATTAGATTATTTACACTACGAGGAGCTACATCCGGAGGAGATGAATCAAATCAAGTGTTTGCAATCCTCTCTCGAGTTTGTTGATTTCAAATTATTCACTGGAGATGTTGCACAAATGAAGCTAGTAAGGTGCTTCCTAGAGAATTGTGTTATCCTCAAGAAACTCACTCTACATTTGGATTCTAATTCAACAGAAGATGAAATCGTGAAGAAACTCTTGGAAATCCCAAGAGCCTCTACCAAATGTGAGGTTGTCATTGTCAAAAACTAGAGAGGAACGTAAGAAGTCTGTATTTGACTGGTAAGTATAAATTGGTTGATGTAGCCTTTTATATGTTCCTCAATCATTTGGGTCTTAATTATGAGTAAAAAGGAATGTGTAATGATAATGGAATGGCAGGGATATCTCAGTTGTTCTTAGAATCAACTGGTTTTTATTTTGGTGACTTTGTGTAATGACAATGTTGGATATTATGATATTATTATTATTACTTGGTTTGGTGATATTATGATAGCGTAATTATTTTGCTCATTCGTTTCTGAATTTTCCATGGCAGTTCATGGATCTCTTATATCAGTTTACAACGTTAAAAAAAAAAAAAAAAAAAAAACGTTAAAAAAATTTCTTGGCAAAGGAAGGGTTGTCTATAAATAATACTAGTAGTTAAATCAGTTTCGTGCTGAAGTGTTTAAAAAAATAATAATAAACTTTCGATTTTGCAACAAATTAATTTAAAACTGTCCAATTTGAGTAAACAAAATTTGAGCAAAAATTTCTGATGTTGTAAAGAAATTAAAGATGAAGTTTGGGTTTTGTTCGTTTCCTTATCATAATAATTTTTAGACGAGTTTTTTTTTTTTTCTTTCTTAACAAACATTTTAAAACTTTCATTATTATGAAGCAAACAATATGATCTCGATCCCAAACAAACTTGGTTGCTTAGAATTCTGATTTCAATGTACCACTTGCCAAAATTATTATATTGGGACAAGTTAACTATTTACGATGGTGTTATTGGTGTACATGATACGTCTTATATTCTTATATTCTGCCTTGTATTGATCCAACATCTAGTTATTTTGTGTCCTCCCGATCTTATGTAGGCTCTACATTTGTCGAGTTTGTTTATCTTGAACGAAGCTTTAAAGGTTCAGAGAAAGCTTAAAGAAGATGACAATGGTGATTGGTGAATTCTATTTCTTGTTAAAAGGTTACGGTTACATCACTTTAATATATATAGACTGCTGGCTTTTGATAACACGACAAGTGAGTAGCTGCACATGACAGCAGATGATCCAAGAGCATCAAAAACGATTGGTCAAATCAAATGGACTCGCAGCTTCCGCATGCTCTGCTTTTGCTGACGTAAGGCAATGGAGGAGAAACAGAGGAGGAGATGGGCTTCGCGTTTCCTTTCTCTGTTTGGGCTTTGAGAGGCCCATCATGATTATGAGAAACCGCAGCTTTGGTCGGAGGGAGAGTCTTCCGACATATATATATATATATATCTATCCCTTAGCGTTTAAGCTAGAATTTTATTTGGGATCTAGGGTTTTCTACAACAATGGTTGATAGAGAGAAATCGAATCAGATTAGTTGTTCCATAGGGTTTAGTGAGAGATTGAAGAAAGATAGGATAAGCCAACTACCTGATCATTTGATATCTGACATACTTCTCATCTTCCCATAAAAGACGTTGTTACGACAAGCGTTTTGTCCACCAGATGGAGGAGTCTCTGGCTTAGGTTCCTAGCTTAGAATTGGCACTTAAGAACTTCCCAGATTTGAGTACTTTTGTGAGTTTTGGTGACATGTTTTTCCATTCCGATAGGGTTTCATCATGCATACAAAATGTGGAGTTATATCTTGGTAACAAGATTGATGCATCTTGTCTTACATCATGGATCGATGCCTTAATTAAACGCAAGGTCCAACGTCTAATTATTGAAACGTATTCTTATCAGAAGATGCCAGTAAGACTTTATGTCTGTGAGACACTGGTACACTCAGGCCACTTTAGTTAATGCCGAGTTTGTTTCCTTACCTTGTTTGAAGACTATGCACTTAATTGTTGTTAAGTATCGCAATGAAGACATTTTTGAGAGACTTGTCTCATCCTGCCCTGTCTTGGAGGACTTAAGAATTTCCACTTTTGGGGCTGATGCAAATATCTTACGGGTGCACTCTCGGTCACTGAATAGACTCACTTTAGTGCGGCGTTCTTCTTTCTGTTCTGCTACCGGAATTGTGATTGATGCTCCTCAACTACGCTTTTTGAGCGTCGATGATAACTTATCAGAAAGCCTTTTAATAACCAATATGGATACCAATGGCAAGTTAGTTCTCGGATTTCATTCGTTGGATTCTAATGAAGCAAGTCTTTCTTCTTACATAAATAGACTCCATAGTTTTTTCCCCGGGATTTCAAAAGTCAGGGATATGATCATATATCTAAACACATTCAAGGTATATATGTCAATTCTTGTATTGGACATATATACTTTTTCTATCATGAAAATTTCTGACCTACATTAGTTTCTTTTTGTTTCCAGCTCATCTGAGTACTTGAAGATAAAACAACTGCCTCGTTTTGGTTATATGACCCGTCGGCATGTAACTCTCTGCTATTCCCCTTTGGAATTGTTACTAACCTTTCTTGAGAGCTTCCCAAACTTGAAATCCCTCAGCTTGGTAATAATATGCTAACCAATAAGCTTTTTTAATCTCTATGAAGATTCTGCATATCTTTTCATTAAATGTGTACATGTTTTTATCCACTTTTGTTTACTCATATTCAATTATGCGAAAATAGCGCCTTCTGATGAGACAAATCAAATCAGGTTTTCATCTGTGTTTGCTATCGTCTCTCGAATTTGTAGATTTCAGAATCTCAATCCGGGAACGTCTTATAGCAATGAAGCTAGTAAGGTACTTCCTAGAGAATTCGGCGATACTCAAGAATCTCACTCTAAGTTTGATTAATTATTCAATAAGCGAAAAGTCTGCTTTCAAGGAAGAACTTCTTAAAATGCCAAGAGGCTCTACCGAATGTGAAGTCGTCCTGCTTGATTGGTAAAGAGTAGAGGTTTTATGATTTTGTGTGAGAGACAAGCGAATATGAGAGTAGTAGAAATCCTAATTTAAATAAATAATAACTAAGGAATGTTTATAACAATTTAACCAAGTTTTTGCTGAATAAAGAAGGGAAAAAATCGTCCTAAACAACCAGGATTAAACTAAGTTTTACAACAAAATTTGGATATATATCCACTTTCGGGCTTTTGGTTGTTTCTTGGTTCAAACGGAGATATCCAATTTTGAACAAAATTATTGTGCTTCCAATTAAATGTTTTGGTTCGGCTCGAACTAAACCGAGTTATCCAAACACTAAAGGTCTTGATATGTGTAAAAACGTTAACTTACTTTGTTTTAAGATGGAGGTTTCAAAAAGCTTAATAAGATGTTTGTTCTTTTGCTTGCGATCAACTTGTTTGAGATTTGTCAAGTTATTGAAAAAGCAGTTTAATGGAAACAACAGAAAGTTAGTTTAAAACTCTCCAATTCGATTAAACTGTATTCGACCAAAAAGTTAATAGTGGAAAGAAATCATACCCTTTATTGGTTCGGGTCAGACAAAACCGAGCTGGTCCAATTCATACCCTTTTACCGGTCTTCTTAGAAACGTTTCCATTCCAAATTTCCATCAAAACCCTAAAACTCACATTCTTTATCTTTGCACGCATCCATGTGGGAAGTCGAGGAGGTTTGATCAGCTGTGGTAATTAAACTCCATAGTCCATCCCAGTGAGTTCTTCTATAATTTTCCTTGATTTTAGTCATCTTTAGAAATCTCGAAAACCAATAACCTAACGAGCTTTGCATGTGAATATTGATGTTTGGGCTTTTTTTCATCTGATTCAGTTGAGATTTTTTAATATTGTTTCTTTGTAATCGAAGGAGAATTTGGCAATTTAATTGTGTACGAAATCTCTACCAATCCAGATTAGTTGTATGCAAGCTAGTGTGTTGGTATTTTGTATTTCATTCAAAATTGGTTGGTTGTTTTGTAACTTTCAATTTTTATCTTTGTCAAATTTGATGATACATTACAGATTATAGTTTTCTTTTGTTTTTTTGGATAAAGATACAGATTATAGTTGTGAAGAAAGACAAATGGTGGGTAGAAAGAAGAAAACCAAAATATGTGACAAAGAAGATAGGATAAGCCAGTTACCTGAACCTTTGATATCTGAAATACTTTGTCAGCTTTCTACCAAAGATGTTGTTGGAACAAGCGTTTTATCCACAAGATGGAGAAGTCTTTGGCAATGGGTTCCTGAATTGGACTTAGACTCGGATACATTCTCGAATTTCGATGCCTTTGTGAGTTTTGCTGACAGGTTTTTTGATTCAAACAAGGAGTCATGGATACGCAAACTCCGGATAGATATTCCTAATTCTTCTCATAGCAAGTCTTTTCCCACCCGATGGATTGATGCTGTGAGTACACGTAGGATTGAACATCTCGATGTTCATTTTGCCTTTTGTCGGCCAGAAGAATCACCATCCCTGAATATATATGTCTGCCAGACACTGGTACAGTTACAACTCCAAGGGGTCGCCTTGGCTAGTGCCGAGTTGTCATTGATGCTCCTCATTTATGTTGTTTGAGTATCCTTGATAGCACATCAAAAAGCTTCATAATAAACAATCTGGAGTACAATGCCAAGTTCGACGTTTCTGTCACCTTTTGTTTAAAGGTTTTTGATGAAGCAAGCATTTTATCGAGGAGAGGTCTCATCCGTAGTTTTCTGTCAGGGATCTTGAAGGTTAGGGATTTGACGATGTATTGGCAGACTTTCCAGGTATATATATATTGGACATACACATTTAATATAATGAAAAGTTTCTAACCCACAATACTCTCACTCTCTGCTTTCAGATCATTTATGAGTATTCGAAATCAGAATCACTGCCTCAATTTAGTTATATGTCATGCCTGTCCGTTTCTGTCTTTTCACAAGATTTGAAAGGGTTGGCTAAATTTCTTGAGAGCTGCCCGAATTTGAAATCCCTAGTCGTGGTGGTAAATCTGCTAAACCTTGCTATAATTTTCTCATCTCTATGCATCAGCTTCTGCCATATCATTTGATTGTATTTTCTCCTCTCCTTTTTCCTCAGCTACAGCGTGATTATCACAACCAGGAGCTACATTCCGAGGAGATGAATCAAATCAAGTGTTTGCAATCCTCTCTCGAGTTTGTTAATTTCAAATTCACATTCTCGGGACATGTTGTAGAAATGAAGCTAGTAAGTTTCTTCCTAGAGAATTGTGCTATCCTCAAGAAACTCACTGTACATTTGGATTCTAATTCAACAGAAGATGAAATCTTGACGAAAATCTTGGAAATCCCAAGAGCCTCTACGAAATGTGAGGTTGTCATTGTCAAAAAGTAGAGGCAAACATGTGAGGTTTGTATTTGACTGGTAAGTAAATCCGTTGATGAAGTCTTAAGTGGTTTTTCATATGTTCCTTATCATTTGGGTCTTATGAGTAAAAAGACTACGAAACTATTTAGGTACTTTGATGAGATATATCAGTTATTCTTCGACTTAACTGGTCGTTTTTTATTTTGGTGATTTTGTGTAAAGAAAGAATAAAGCTGTGTGGGATCAGGCGTAGCAGTTTCATTATTACCTGGTTTGGTGATATTTTGATTGCGTAATTCTTTTGCTTCATTCGTTTCTGAATTTTCCATGTCCGTTGGTGAATCTTCTATCAGTTGAAAAACGTTAAAAATCTCTTAGCTAGTTCATCTTGAGCCATTTACCAACATAAAATTTTAAGTTTTTTATTTTTATTTTTATTATTTTTTTTTTTTTTTTTTTTGAAAACACATAAAACTTAAGCTTTTAACAAAATATTATACTAAAACTTCTTAATCCGACGAAACCGTATCTCACCAAAAATAAGTTTTTAAACTAGCTATATATGTTGAAAATAAAAAAGATGAAGTAAAACTTTGAGGCGAGTTAATTCATTTTTGGAAGTTTTTGGAGATCTACAATGTATATCTTATTGAAAAAAAAAATCAAAATAAATGATTAGTAAATTATAAGGAAATCTAGAAATATATAGCTATAGATTTAAAAATATAACTATTTGTTTCTACATATCCTTGTAATTTACTAGTCATTTATTTTTGAGTTTTTTTTTCCCAATAAGATATATACATTGTAATTGGCTATGAGTGGAGATGCTCATATCTTATATACATCACTTAAGATTCTACTCAACTTCAAATGTAAGATATTGTTATCCCTAATAAAATCAGCTCAGTTTTTCATATGTGTCTCAATGTTTCTTGTGGTGGCTCGAGTTTGTTGAAATCAAAAACAATATCAGGGGATACGATGTAGACATGTTTCTGAATCTAGTAAGTTAATTTTTTTTGGAGAATTCAGCAATCCTCAAGAAACTGACTCTACATTCATGTTCCAATGATCGTGCGTACGAATATATCTTCATCAAGAAACTCCTGAGCATCCCAAGACGATCAGTCCATTGTGAACTCGTAACGTGATTGTTAAATACTACAAAGAACATGTGAAGCTTGTCTTTTGACAGGTTTAGTTAATTGATATCTTGCCACACAAGACATGCAGGTTTAGAGAAAGTTAGTTTAAAACTCACCAATTCGATCAAATTGTATTCGACCAAAAAGTAAGAGCTGATCATAGATTTTAAATTGGACCATCTATATTCGGGCTTTATTGGTTCGGGTCAGACAAAACCGAGCTGGTTCAATTTATACCTTTTTACTGGTCTTCTTAGAAACGTTTCCATTCCAAATTTCCATCAAAACCCTAAACTCACATTCTTTTTTATCTTTGCACGTATCCATGTGGGAAGACGAGGAGGTTTGATCAGCGGTGGTAATTAAACTCCATCCCAATGCGTTAATTCTTACGTAATTTTCCTTGATTTTAGTCATCTTTATAAATCTCGAAAACCTATAACCTAACAAGCTTTGCAAGTGATTTTAGTTCTTCTGATGTTTGGGCTTTTTCATCTGATTCAATTGAGATTTTGTAGAAACTTTTCTTTGGAACCGAAGCAGATTTAGTTCTTCTGTGTTTGTATTTTGTATTTCATTTGTTAATTGATTGGTTGTTTTTGTAACTTTCAACTTTTATCTTTGTTAAATTTGTTGATACAGATTATAGTTGTGTGAAGAGAAGAGAAATGGTGGGTAGAAAGAAGAAAACCAAAATATGCGACAAAGTGTCACATGAAGAAGATAGGTTAAGCCAGCTACCGGAACCTTTGATATCTGAAATACTTTGTCAGCTTTCTACCAAAGATGCTGTACGAACAAGCGTTTTATCCACCAGATGGAGAAATCTTTGGCAATCAGTTCCTGGATTGGACTTAGACTCGGGTACATTCTCAACTTTCGATGCCTTTGTGAGTTTCGCTGACAGGTTTTTTTATTCACACAAGGAGTCATGGATACGAAAACTCCGGGTTAATATTCACAACTCGTCTCATAGCAAGTCTTTTCCCATCCGATGGATTGATGCTGTGAGCACACATAGGATTCAACATCTCGATGTTCATTTTGCCTTTGGTCGGCCAGAGGAATCACCATCCCTGAATATATATGTCTGCCAGACACTGGTACAGTTACGACTTCGAGGGGCCACCTTGGCTAGTGCGGAGTTTGTTTCCTTACCTTGCCTAAAGATCATGCAATTAGAATATAATAGCTATCCTAATGAGGCCACTGTTGAGAAACTTGTCTCAGGCTCTCCAGTTCTGGAATATTTAACTATCATCACATATTTTGATGGTCGTAGAAGGATTTTTCAAGTGCGCTCTCATACAGTAAAGAGAATTCACATAAATGAGTGCACCCAAGTTGTGATTGATGCACCTCTACTCCAGTGTTTGAGGGCTACGGTCTCCATACCAAAGAACTTTCAGTTCATCAACTCGGCTTTCTCTGGCAGACTAGATATTGATATCTCCATTAATGGTACGAGATGGGAAAGCGTGATTTGCGATATACTCACCAATATTTCGAGGGTCAGGGATCTAGTTATTAGTAGGCGTACTTGGAAGGTATACATCTCAACATTTGGCATACATAAAAACGTTATTCCACGAAAGTTTCTCACCGTGATATATATATATATTTTTTGTGTACTTCTGTTACCAGGAAATCTTTGAATACTCGAAATCGGGACCGGTGCCTAAAGAACATTGTGGAATCTTTCAGTTTCGTAACCTATCCCATTTGAATGCTAGATTTTATATATCTGATCTTGAAACGTTGCCAACCCTGCTTGAGAGCTGCCCGAAACTAGAATCTCTCATATTGGTAACGAAGAGCTCTCTACCCTCTGATTTATGCATGTTGTTTGTGTATACTTCTCTTCTCAATTTGATTTCTTATTTTTTTGCAGGAATTGGTTAAGGACCGATACATGATTGGTAAGAAGAAGAAAGAACCAAAGGTGATGTTTTCAAAAGTGCCTCAGTGTTTGGTATCATCGCTCAAGTTTGTGCAATGGAAACGTTTGATCTCGAGGTATGAAGGAGAAATAGAGCTAGTAAGATACTTCTTGAAGAATTCAAAAATCCTGGAGAAGTTTAGGCTTGATACTTACTATACCGAAAAATCCAAGTGTACCTTCCTTCAAGAACTCCTTACGATGCCAAGATGCTCTAGCGTTTGTGAAATCCATTCTTCTTTAATTCCTAAAACTAAATATGGTTGAACATTTCGTTTGGGCTAGGTTAATATTTTGGTCGTTAAATTGGTTGATTTTAGGAGCCTATATTAGGCTTTGAGCCATAAATAAAATATTGGGATATGATGCAGAATGAAGCTAGTAGTACTTTCTGGAGAGTTGAGCAATCCTCAAGAAACTGACTATATGTTTTGAATTATTGTGCAAATCAAGATTAGAGAGAGAACCATGTGCACCTTAAGCTCTTGGCTCTTGCCACACAAGAAATGGTTGTGTATGTTTTCAAAACCAGCATCTCAGGACATGCTGCAGAACTGAAGCTAGTAATGTTCTTACTAAAGAATTCAACAATCCTCAAGAAACTGACTGTACGTTTAATTTATTACTGGACAGATGAAAAGCGCATCGTAAAGACTCTGGTAGAACTCCCAAGACGGTCTACCAATTGCAAAGTCGTCATATATTGATATGTAAAAGATTAGAGAGAGAACATGTGAAGCTTAAGCGCTTACAAGAAATGCAGGTGTAGCTTTTTGTTTGTTTCTTTTGGAGTAAATTAAGATGAAAACTGTAAAACCATGTTTGCAAGAATCGTCTTATCTGTTTGGTGTGGTTTTGGGCAGTGAAACTATTAAAGACTATTAATGTTGGTAATCCACTCTCTTTTGGCTGATGAAAATATCTAAGTAATGTTGTTAAACAAGTTGAGCAATTTTGTTAGTAAGATTCTATTAGATATTTTGATCTGATACATTCTGTCAGCTATTTTGGTCTTGGTTAGGAGGGAGATTGCAGATTTGATATGACGTCCACTACCATGGAAGCTGCCATAAGTAATCCTCGAATGTCAATCTCACCGTATGAAGTAGAAATAGAGCTAATCAGCTAGGTTGCATGGAATCAGAAGCGGGTACGCGGAAGCGAAGCGTTTGGAAACGTGGAAGCGATTTTTATAGAAATTATAGAAAGTGGGTACGTGTTGGAAGCGTATATAAAAATTAATATATATATATATATATATATATATATATATATACATATACATACATGCATATATAATAAACATTAAACATTATATCATATAAAAAATTATAATTAACATACAAATCTAATACATAAATTCTAAATATCTCTCTATATTTAAAAATCAAATAGTATACATTTACAATAAAGAAAAGTCAAATAGTTCAATGTCAAAAATTTAAGATCATTCTTCATTCTCATTTTACTAATAAAATAAAATTGTTTTAATTTTTTTTTACCAATAAAAACATCATCAAACTAAAGTTTCTCGAAATTAATTTAATTCAATTAATCATTTCAACACTCCTTAATAAATGATCTATGCTGCTATCTTTTTTGTTTTGTCATCCAAAATTAATTAGAGCTCAAATGAGTCATTCCTGAGGAATGTTGTTTACATAAGTGATATGAAGCGGTTCTGTACAAAAATCCATGCTGCTATCATTTTTCTAACTATGATATTTAAAAAAATAAAATAAAAAATTAGTATGCAAAATTACTTTTGGTTTTTCTTTTGTTGTATAAAAAAACTATCAAAAATAATTTCATATTTCTTATTTATTTTTGTGACATCAAATTTTTTAAATGGAAGCGCAAGCTTCCAAAATAGAATCGTAAGCTTCCAAGGAGCTTCCAAAATGAAATTTTTAGAAGCGTTATGGAAGCGAGATTCCGAAAGCTTCCGAGAGCTTCCGATTCCGACTAAGATTCCGAAGCGGGAAGCGGACCTCCGATGAAGCTTCCGTGCTTTCTAGCTAATCAGAAACTTCCTGAATAATTTACCAATTCTGTAGGAAAAAGGCAACTAATAATAAACCATGGAAATATAGAGATTTCAATTATTTTAGCCCAGATTTAGTGGGCTATGTTTGATTGTTGGGCTTTTGTTTTGTTCCAGCGAGTGATTGCATATCGGCCTAAACACTGTAGGTTCTTCTTCTTCTTTACTATTTTTGTCTTTCTATAATCATTAGATCTTGAAAAACCCTAGCCTGAATCAATGTGGTTTAGTTTCTCTCGCACATTAGCACATACTTCTTCTTTATCCGTCACTGGAAGTTGTAACTGAAGGAGAGTTTTGATTAGTGTTAGTTGCAATTTATGTCTTAAATTTCGTTGTCTGAAAACAGAAAATTGAATGGCTTGTTCCAAAGTGTTGAAGGAAGATAGGATAAGCGAATTACCTGATCCTTTGATATGTCAGATACTTACTCATCTTCCGGCAAAGGATACTGTTAGGACAAGCGTTTTATCCATAAGATGGACAAATATTTGGCTTTGTGTTCCTTCTTTGAAATTGACCTCCCGAGATTTCTCTAATTTCAATGCCTTTGTGAGTTTTGGTGACAGATTTTTCCATTCGGATAGGTCTTCATGCATACACAAGCTGGAGTTAACTATTAACGAAAATGAGGAGAAATCTTATATCATTTCATGGATTGATGCTGCAGTTAAGCGTAAGGTTCAACATCTATGTGTTAGGTGTCATATAAGGCGTTGTTATCCTGAGATGCCAATAAGCCTTTATGTGTGTGGGACACTGGTATCTTTAAATCTTGTTTGTGTAGCCATGGATAATGTCGAGTTTGTTTCCTTCCCTCGTCTCAAGACTATGCATTTACTTTGTGTTTTGCTTTCCAAGGATGCCGCTTTTGAGAGATTTATTTCTTGCTGTCCTGTCTTGGAAGACTTAAGAATTAACGGATGTGTGAGTAAGCCTCAACCCTTTAGGGTGCACTCTCGGTCACTGAAAAGGCTCTATATTGGAGATTGTTATTCTACTCTGGTTGATTCTGTTCCAGGAGTTGTCATTGATGCTCCTCAATTATGCTGTTTGAGTATCCTTGATAACAAATCAAAAAGATTCAAGGTATATATGTATTGGACATACACATATATAATATAATGCAAAGTTTCTAACCCACAATACTCTCTCTCTCTCTCTGCTTTCAGATGATTTATAACTATTCCAAGTCAGAATCGCTGCCTCAATTTAGTTTTATGTCACGCCTGTCCGTTACTTTCTCTCCACAAGATTTGAAATGGTTGGCAACATTTCTTGAGAGCTGCCCGAATCTGAAATCTCTAGTCGTGGTGGTAAATCTGCTAGACCTTGCGATAATTTTCTCATCTCTATGCATCAGCTTCTGTCATATCATTTGATTGTATTTTCTCCTCTCCTTTTTCATCAGCTATTCGATTATTATCACTACGAGGAGCTACATTCCGAGGAGATGAATAAAATCAAGTGTTTGCAATCTTCTCTCGAGTTTGTTGATTTCAAATTATTCTCGGGACATGTTGCAGAAATGAAGCTAGTAAGGTGCTTCCTAGAGAATTGTGCTATCCTTAAGAAACTCACTCTACATTTGGATTCTAAATCAACAGAAGATGAAATTGTGAAGACACTCTTGGAAATCCCAAGAGCCTCTACCACATGTGAGGTTGTCATTGTTAAAGAGTAGAGGCAAACTTGTGAAGTTTGTACTAAGGTACAATTTGCTGGAAATCTTACTTTTTGTTAGAATCAATGTGGTAGGCATAGCAGTTTCTTTATTACTTTGTCTGGTGATATTATGATAGCCTAATTCGTTTATGGCTGTTGATGGATATTCTATCAATTCAAAACGTTAAGCATCTCTTAATAAACTCAAATTGAGCCATTTACGAACATAAATCTATAGTAGTTAATCAATTTCTGCTGAAGAGTTATAAATAAACCAAAGTTTTTATGACATATTAGTTGAAAGCAGTACTCCAACTTGAGTACAACCGTATTCGACCAAACATTCTCATTTTGTTGAAAAGATGAGTTCGATTCTGTATCATAATAATTTTAAAAACGAACTTGTTTTCTTAACATTTTATAAAACTTTCATTGATATGAACCGAAGCAGAGAAAGTTTTATCCTCATTTACAGCATTTGAAAAAAGATGTCATTGTTAAAGAGTAGAGGGAAACATGTGAGGTTGTATTTGACAGGTAAATCGGTTGACGTAGCAGTTTTGGTTATTATTATTACTTGATTTGGTGATATTATAGTATATGACTGGCGTAATTATAGGATCTTTTTTTAGAACCACGAACTCTAGGAGGACTTCGAAGCACATCCAAAAGGAATTAATATATATCCTGAGTAATTATATATTTATATGTATCATTCTCTTTCTTTTGGCGTGAGAGTGAGATTACACTTTTCAAGATTCCAATGTTGAGAGAAAGAGAAGAATAATAATTGTGCTGATCTTCTCTTAAAGACAAGAAATATGTGTTATAATTTCATAGTTGGTTAATTGGTTTGGCTTTCGGTTATACAAACTTAGTTTCTGAAAGCTCATGATCTTAAATCAGCTCAAATGTTAGAGAAATCTTAGCAGTGCAAATTAGAGCCATTGATAATAACGAATCATCCTTTCCTCAAAGAAAAGGTTTGTCTATATAATTGATCATTTTTCTTTGCCGAATAGTGTTACAACCAGAGCCGTAGCTGGATAGAAGCAAGAGAAGCGGGAGCTGCGGCCCTCCGAGAAGTTATTAATATTTTCGGCCCTCAAATACCAATGTGTTTTGGTAGCCTAGTGGTATTATGTCATACACCACATATCTTAGGTCATGAGTTCGAATCACCTGAAGCGTGGGAGAAGGTTTTTTTTTGTTTTTTGTTTTTTTTTTTATGGTTATAATTTTTTTATAAGTATACACTTTTCTATAGCGGCTCTTTTTTTTTTTTTCGCGGGCGGCCCTCATAATCGTTGCTACGGCTTACAACTACAGATAAATAAAACTTTTAACGTCTACAATTTTAAAACTCTCCAAATTTGATCAAACCGACCGAATTCAACCCAAAATACTACTCTTTTAGCAAAACGGATTGACACATCCTATATTATATGGGCTAATGGGCTGACAATATAACTCAGCCCAATAGGCTTAAAACTGACACACCGTCTTTTCTCTTCACACTCATCTTCTTCACTCTCTCCGTAGTGCAGTCCAAAAATCAGTCTCTGTAATTTCAAACCCGTACGGATTCGTCTCTCTCGCTCGCATCGAGGTTCGTCTCTTGTTCTTCAAGCATTTTCCACTATTTTCGTTCCTTCAATCTTTCTTCAGCTACTATCTTCGTTAATCCTATTGTTTGTTTTATTTGACTCTTTGCGTTTGAGCTATAACTTTATTTGGGGATTTATATATCTCGGAGATTACGATTCTATGGTTTATTTTTTTACTGAGTTTTTCGATAAATTGTTGATCATAAGCTATCATCGTCTTCAATTTTGCTATGCAGATTAAGTGGTTCTACAACAATGGTTGATAGAGAGAATTCGAGTCAGATTCTTTGTTCCAAAGGGTTTAGTCAGAGATTAATGGAAGATAGGATAAGTCAGTTACCTGATCCTTTGATATGTCACATACTTTCTCATCTTCTTCCAAAAGAAGCTGTTACCACAAGCGTTTTGTCCACCAGATGGAGGAGTCTCTGGCTTTCGGTTCCTAGTTTGGAGTTGGTTTCCCGAGATTTCTCTAATTTCAATGCCTTTGCGAGTTTGGGTGACAGGTTTTTCGAGTCCGATAGGATATCATGCCTAGACAAACTCAACTTAACTATTGCTGGAACAGATGCCTCTCATATCACATCATGGATTGATGCTGCAGTTAAGCGTAAGGTCCAACATCTACGTTTTAAGTGTTTTTCAAGGTATTGTGTTTGTCGGATGCCCGTAAGCCTTTATGTGTGTGAGACACTGGTATCTTTAAAGCTCGAATCTGTAATCTTGGATGATGTCGAGTTTGTTTCCTTCCCTCGTCTGAAGACTCTGCATTTACTTCGTGTTTTCCTTTCCAAACTTTCCAAGGATGCCGCTTTTGAGAGATTTATTTCTTGCTGTCCTGTCTTGGAAGACTTAGAAATTTCCGGATGTTTGAATGCTCCTCAACCCTTGCGGGTGCACTCTCGGTTGCTGAAAAGGCTCATTATTGGACATGGTTATTCTACTCAGTTTGATTCTGTTCCAGGAGTGGTCATTGATGCTCCTCAATTATGCTTTTTGAGAATCACTGATCATGTATCAAAAAGCTTCATAGTAAACAATCTGGAGTACAACGCCAAGTTAGAAGTTGATATCACCTTTGGTTTAAGGGGTTCTGTCAAAGCAATCTATATATCGGGGGGAAGTCTGATCCGTAGTTTTCTGTCAGGGATCTTGAAGGTTGGGGATTTGACGATAGATGATGTCACTTGGAAGGTATACATGTATTGTACATACACTTTTTATATAATGAAAAGTTTCTAACCCGCAATATAATACCCTCTCTCTGCTTTCAGATCATTTATATCTATTTCATATTTGAATCGCTGCCTCAATTTGGTTACATGTCACGCCTCTGCGTTTCTCTCTTTGCACATGATTTGAAAGGGTTGGAACCATTCCTTGAGAGCTGCCCGAATCTGAAATCCCTAGTCTTGAAGGTGAATCTGATAAACCCTGTGATATTGTTCTCCACTCTATGCAGCTTCTGCCATATCATTTCACTTTGTTTCCTCCTCTCTTTTTTACTTGACAGTTTCCTTATAAATATGATCCGGAGAAGATGAATCAAATCAACTTTTCATCTGTGCCCAAGTGTTTGCAATCCTCTCTCGAGTTTGTCGATCTCAAATTCCCAGTCTCCGGACATGTTGCAGAAATGAAGCTAGTAAGGTACTTCTTAGAGAATTCAGCTGCCCTCAAGAAGCTCACTCTACATTTGTATTCTAATTCAACAGAAGATGAAATCTTGACGAAACTCTTGGAAATCCCAAGAGCCTCTACCAAATGTGAGGTTGTCATTGTCAAAAAGTAGAGAGGAACGTAAGAGGTCTGTATTTGACTGGTAAATCTGTTTATCTAAGCGTAGTCTTTCATATGTTCCTTATCATTTGGGTCTTATGAGTAAAATGGAATGAGATTATTTAGGTACTTTGCTACAAGGATATCTCAGTTGTTCTTAGAATCAACTGGTTTTTATTTTAGTGATTTTTTGTGTAAGGAAAGAATAAAGCTGTGTGGGATTAGGCGTAGCAGTTTCATTATTACCTGGTTTGGTGATATTTTGATTGCGTAATTCTTTTGCTTCATTCATTTCTGAATCTTCCATGTCCGGTGGTGAATCTTCTATCAGTTGGAAAACGTTAAAGATCTCTTAGCTAGTTCATATTGACTTTTTTAATCCGACTAAACTTTATCTTACCAAAAAAATAAATTTTAAACTAGCTATGTTGAAAATAAAAAAGATGAAGTAAAACTTTGGGGGAGTTGCCGAGGTTATTCATTTTTGGAAGTCTTTGGGTTTGGGGATCTATATGTATCTTATTGGAAAAAAAAAAAAATGACTAATAAATTATATGGAAATGTAGAAATATATATTTAAAGATTTAAGAATATAACTATTTATATTACATGTAGCATATTTCATATATGTGTAGTGTTTCCATATATAGCAAGTTAGTATGATATAGCAAAAGATCTTACCAAAAGTTCAAAGCTACTAGATAAGATCATATTAGCTAAAATAAAACAAGAATTATATCATAATTTATTAATTGGAATGATTTATAAAGAGTGATGTGTAAGTGTTTTATTGAGTTATTACATATCTTATAATTCCATCTCCTTAGATCTCTTCCCAAAGTAACAAAAGCATATAGAGTTATGATAATCGGTCTACTCAGCCTTGTTTGGAGAAGTCTTTTTGCATATCATTATATATACTTAAGGAGTTTCACAAGAACCTACACAAAACAAAGAGTATTATTGATTGCTATCTAGATTTCATTTATAATGTCTTCACAACTTTTGACGCTCCTCTTTCTCTTATCTGCTGCTGTGATCTACCACATCCCCGTCGTGACTTGTAGAACATGGTGCTCGGCGATGCCTTCTTCCACAGCTGAGCAGTTACAATCCAACATTAACTTTGCTTGCAATCATGTGGATTGTTCACCGATCCAACCCGGTGGATTTTGCTATTACCCTAATACTTTACTAGAGCATGCTTCGTTTGTCATGAACCTTTACTACACAAGTCAAGACCGCATTGCTTCTGCTTGTAGCTTTGGCAATACTGGTTACATTAGCTATTCCGACCCAAGTGCTGGCACATGTGGCCGCCTTTAAACTTGATGAAACAAAGAAAAATCTTCATCAAAATTATAAAGTGTTATTTTGTTTTAATAATGGGTTTCTGTTTCGGACTCTTGTATTCCCAAACTGAAATAAATGAAATAGACGTTATTAAATAAATTATTCTGAAGTTTCCATGTTCTTAGTGATGACGTACGTCTTTTATTTTTCTTTTACTATTATTGTGGTTCAAGACTCTTAAGTTGTCTTTGAACTCGTTAATCGTTATAGAATTTAAAATTGGAGACCTCAATTTTTATTTGTTACAAATAGTGCCTTATGTAAGTCTTACCAATTCTAAGTACTTACCCAAAGCCTTTGTAGTTAATCGTTACTACTATATAAGGTATAGTGCTTGTGTTAACATTATCTTCACCTGACTTGTTAATAATTTCAAAATAAACTTCCAACTGATTCACGAAGCTATGGAGATGAGTTTTCTATGTAGCTACACAAATCATCATTTATGTTGTAAATTCAAATCATCTTGTTAACTCTTTTAAATGTAACGTAGGAGATGTTGTCTAATGGTTTGTACTTAGTTGATTCGGCCGGTCGGGTTTCAAACAAATTTTCTGACAAAGGAAGGTACGCATGCATGAGAAGTAGCTAAAGAGATCCGATTCAGAAGATATACGTGGTTGAAGAAAAAAAAATAGTAGAACGAAATGAAACAACTGCCTAGATTTGTAATTGCATGCCAAAAAAAAGTCATTGATTTGTATGCACAAACACTTGTCTTCTTTTATCGAGATAAAATTCCTTTCTTAAAAGGAGAAAATAATAATTTCTTAATTATTCATTAAACTCTATTAGATTTTATTCTTTTGGCTACTATGAGGAAAAATCAATAAATAAACTGAAATTTACCTAGTTTAACCTATATTTTAGAGAAAAATAACTAAATTAACACCCAAACAATGTGGTTTACTAGAATAACATAATTTTTGTGTTAGAAGACCAAATACCCATTTTATTTTTAATTTTATTAAAATAAAATAATATATAATAATTAAATTAAATAGAAAATTAGAAGAAAAAAAAACAACATACAACTTACGCTTTTAAGAAAAGCAGATTATATTAAAAAAATTTTAATCCGACTAAACCGCATCTGACCAATAATAAAAATCTTAAACTGGCGATGCTGACAAATAAAAAAGATGAAGTGAAAGTTTTGATTGAAAATGTTTGATTTGTCTAAGTGCTTCTTCTACTTAGGGCGAGTCTATTCATTCTTGGAAGTCTTTGGGGATCTATGTATCTTATTGAAAAAATAAAATAAAAATAAATGAATAGAAAATTATAAGGAAATGTTGAAATATATATATAGTTATAGATTTAAACATATAATTATTTATATTACAGATAGCATATTTTATATATGTGTAGTGTTTCCATATATAGCAAGGTAGTATGATATAGCAAAAGATCTTACCAAAAGTTCAAAGCTACTAGATAAGATCATATAATCTTAAAATAAAACAAGAAATATATCATAATTTATTTAATAGAATGATTTATAAAGAGTGATGTGTAAGTGTTTTATTGATTTGTTACATATCTTATAATTCCATCTCCTTAAGATCTCTTCCCAAAGAAACAAAAGCATATAGAGTTATGAGAATTGGTCTACTCAGCCTTGTTTGGAGAAGTCTTTTTGCATATTATTATATATACATGTACTTTCACAAGAAACTAAACCAAAAAAAAAAAAGCATTCTTGATTTCATTTATAATGTCTTCACAACTTTTGACGCTCCTCTTTCTCCTATGTGCTGCTGTGATCTACCACATTCCCGTCGTGACTTGCGAACCATGGTGCTCGGCGATGCCTTCTTCCACAGCTGAGCAGTTACAATTCAACATTAACTTTGCTTGCAGACATGTGGATTGTGCACCGATCCAACCCGGTGGATTTTGCTATTACCCTAATACTTTACTAGACCATGCTTCGTTTGTCATGAACTCTTACTACCAGAGTCAAGGTCGCACTTATGCTGCTTGTAGCTTCGGCAATACTGGTTACCTTATTTATTCCGACCCAAGTTCTGGCACATGTGTATTTTAAACTTAGTTTTAAAAAGAACTCTTCATAAAACCTATAAATTGTAATTTTGTTTTAATAATGGGTTCCTGTTTTCGGACTCTTGTATTCCCGAACTAAAATTATTGAAATGGACGTTATTAAATAAATTATTCTGAAGTTTCAATGTTCTTAGTGATGACGTCTTTGATTTTCTTTTACTATTGTTGTGGTTCAAGATTAAGTTGTCTTTTGACTCGTTATAAAATTTAAAATTGGAGACGTCAATTTATATTTGTTACAAATTGTGCCTTATGTAAGTCTTCTCACCAATTCTAATTAATTACTTACCCAAAGCCTTTGTAGTTAATCGTTACTATAAGGTGTATAGTGCTTGTGTTAACATTATCTTCACCTGACTTGTTAATAATTTCAAAATAAACTTCCAATTGATTCACGAAACTATGGAGATGAGTTTTCTATGTAGCTACACAAATCATCATTTATGTTGTAAGCTCAACTCATCTTGTTAACTCTTTTAGATGTAATGTAGGACATGTTGTCTAATGGTTTGTACTTGGATTGATCGGGTTCAAAAGAGCTTGCCGGATTATCTCACGGAAAATTTAACTTACGATGGTTTCCAACAAATTTTCTGACAAAGGAAGGTATGCATGCATGAAAAGTAGCTAAAGAGGAGATGATCAGAAGATATAAGTGGTGGTTGAAGAAAGAAAAATAATAGTAGAACGAAATGAAAGAACTGCAAAAAAGTCATTGATTTGTATGCTTACCGTATTCGGATTTCTTTTGCCACATACACACACACTTGTCTTTTTTTATTCTTATGGATACTATGAGAATTTTAGATAAACCTTTGGCCCCTTAATAACAAAAACTTATTATTTGTTTGCTAAAATAGTTTTTTACCAAATCGAGATCAAAAAGTTAAACACGATCCTATGTTGCTACGGTTACGTTAAAAAACAGAACTACAAAACCAAAAATAAAAAAATATGACTCTGAGCTTGATTGGTTCTCCCGCTACCACCCGCAAACGAAGCGTTTGTGGGCGGTTGCGGTTGCTAGCGTTTAAAACCAATCATAAAAAACATTTTATACCGCTCCGACTTAAACCCAAGATTAAACTAAGATTTTGGGTTTAAGTCGGAGCGGTATAAAACGTTTTTTATGATTGGTTTTAAACGCTAACAACCGCAACCGTCCGCAAAAGCAGCGTTTGCGGGTGGTAGCGGGAAAACCAATCAAGCCCTAACTTCTAAAATTTCAAGGATGTTGTAAGAACAAGACAAAAATACGAAAGGAAAAACTCTGTTTTAATAAAAAGTCATACTTTGTAAATCATATATTAATATTATGTTGTTTTATGGGATTGATTATAATTAGTAGGATAACCCTAATTAACCCATGTGGTAAACAAGTTTTCTGAACATAAATGTGCTGACTCAGCCCAATAGGCCCAAAGTGACTAGAAAACCCTTTCTTCTCTTCCACGGGTCCCCCAGATCAGTCTGTAATTTTCAAACCTAACAGATTCGTCTCTCTTTCGACCCTTGGCTTCAATAATCGTACCTTCTGTTATCTCTCTTTCGAACCTTAGTTGCGTTAATTTGAGCTTAAACTTTTGTGGGTGTATGTTTGAGATTACTGTTACTGCTGATTAGGTTTTGTTTCTCAGAAACTTTCGTTTCAATATTGTTTGGCATTTGGCAGATAAAAGACAATGGTTACTATAGGGGAATCGAAACAGGCTTGTTCCGGAGGGTACTTGTGTCAGACATTTGAAGAAGATAGGATAAGCCAATTACCAGATCCTTTGATTTGTCAGATTCTTTCTCATCTTCCAACAAAAGAAGCTGTTACGACAAGTGTTTTGTCCATCAGATGGAGGACTCTCTGGCTATGGGTTTCTGGTATGGAACTAGATTCTAGACAGTTCCCGGATAACAATGCCTTTCTCAGTTTTGGTGACAGGTTTTTCGATTCCAGTATGGTTTCATGCATACACAAACTCACTATAATTTTTGGTAGAAATCCAAAAAATAATGATGACTCTTGTTTCCCGTCATGGCTTAATGCTGCAATTAAGCGTAAGATCCAACGTCTAGATGTTCGTTGGACTAGCAAGATTTATCTTCATAATCATACCCTAAGGTTGTATAACTGTGAGACACTTGTATACTTAAGACTCTATGGTGTGCTCATGGATGATGCAGTGTTTGGTATCTTGCCTTGTCTGAAGACAATGCATTTAGAAGAAAATTGTTATACCAGTGAGGCCACTTTTGAGAAACTTGTCTCATCCTGCTGCCCAGTCTTAGAAAATTTAAAGATTGTCGCATCTGATATTGATGGAATAGTCTATCGGGTGCGCTCTCCCTCACTGAAGAGGCTTAGCATTGAAAGAAAATATATTGTACTTGAGCCTTATTGTGTTCCAGGGGTTCTTATCGATGCTCCTCTACTATGCTGTTTGACTATCGATGATCACGATTCATATAGCTTTATAGTCAAAAATTTGCAGTCTAATGCAGAGTTAAATATTTCTTATCTCGACTTTCGTTTAGGGAAACCTGGTGTTGAATCAAGAATTTCATCGAGGTTAAGTAATATCCGCGATTTCCTTCTAGGGATTTCGAGGGTCGGGAATATGAAGATATGTCTAGTCCCTTTCAAGGTATATATATCTTTCAAATTTAAATGAAGTTTTTGGACAATTTCTATGATGAAAGTCTATGATCCACATTCTTTTTTTCTTTTTTGGTTCCAGGTCATTTGTGGATACTCGGAACAAGAACCACTGCCTCAATTTGATTACATTTCCCGCCTGTGCATTTCTCTCGATGCATTAGATTTTAAATGGTTGGAATTATTTCTTCGGACCTGCCCGAATCAGAAATCCCTTGTCTTGATGGTGAATCTGCTAAACCTAGTAATAATATTTCTCATCTTTATGGAGTTTCTGTCATATCATTTCATTGTGTGTTTTTCCTCACATTTTCCGTCAGGTACATGATACTTATGATTTCTGGGAGATATATCAAAGTAGTTTTCAATATGTTCCTAAGTGTTTGGTATCGTCTCTCGAGTTTGTTGATTTTAAATTCTCAATCCGTGGACATGATGACCAAATGAAGATAGTAAGGTACTTCCTAGAGAATTCAGCAATCCTCAAGAAACTCACTTTACGTTTGGCTAATCATTCAAAAAAAGATGAAATCTCTAAGGAAGTCTTTGAAATCCCAAGAAGCTCTACCAAGTGTGAAGTTGTCATAGTCTGATTTGTAACAGAGTAGAGGTAACATGTGAGGTTTTATTTTATTTTTATATTTGTTATGTATGGAGTTGGTTTAGTTAAACCTGTTACCTTATACATAAACAATATGTAGAATACGATTTGTTTGGTTTTCCAATGATGACACGTTTGAGAGACTTGCCTCTAGCTTTCCTATCTTGGAAGAGTTAAAAAGTGTCTGATGTGTGAATGCTCCTAAAGTCTTTCGGATGTACAAGCTTTTTTTTTCTTTTTTTTTTTAAGATTATGAGAGTTGTGATCGATGCTCTTTCATTATGCTGTTTGAGAATCATTGTTAATCAGCGTATCAAAAAACTCCAGAGTTAGAACTAGAAGAAAAAATAGTTAAGCTTAACTCATATTAGTCGTGGTGATGCTTCTGAGATTAATGCATTTCAAACCATAAAGCTATCACATAGGATTCAGTGTGTGAGAACTAGTCTCTAATCTAAGCTCCTTAACACATTATGAGTACCAAATACAGATCTCAAATCTCGATGCCTTTACGAGTTTTGGTGACAGGTTTTTATATTCCAATAGAGTTTCCCGCATAGACAAGCTTACGTTAACGAGTGATTATCATGAAAATGATGCATCTTCTCTCATATCATGGGTCGATGCATCAGTTAAGCGTAAGATCCAACATCTACATGTTAGAACTAATCTTACTTATTCTCTTAAGATGCCCCCGAGCCTTTATGTTTGTGAAACACTCGTATCCTTAAAACTCTATCGGCTGAAGTTGGCTAGTGCCGAATTTGTTTCCTTACCTTGTCTGAGGACTATGCATTTACATTGCATTAAGTATCCCAATGAAGCCACTTTCGAGAAACTTATTTCATCCTCCCTTGTCTTGGAAGAGTTAGAGATTTCCATGGTATATAATGATGCAAAAATGTATCGGGTGCAGTCTTTATCACTTAGAAGGCTCTGTTTACTACAATATTCTCTCCCGTTTGACTATGTTGTGGAAGTTGTGATTGATGCTCCTCTATTGTGCTCTTTGAGAATAAAAGATAGTATAAAAAAATCTTTATAGTTAACAATCTTGTGTCCAATGCCAAGTTAGATATTGATCTCAACTTTGGTTTGAGGGATTTTGTTGAAGCAAGCGTTTCATCGACAAGAAGTTGCTTCCGTAGTTTTCTGCCCCGGATCTCTAAGGTCATGGATATGACGATATCTGTTGACACTTTCGGGGTATGTATGTATTTGACATGCACATTTTCTATAAATTAATGAAAATGTCTAATCCATGATACTTTTTTCTGTCTCGTTGCAGTTCATTCATCAATATTCCCAATTAGAACTGGAACTAGAACCATTGCCTCGATTTGGTTACATGTCCCGAATGTGCGTTACTCTCCATGTATCCGATTTGAAATGGTTTGAAATATTTCTTCAGAGCTGCCCAAATCTGAAATCCCTTATCTTGGCGGTGAATCTGCTAAATCCAGTGATATTTTTCTCATTTCTATGAACTTTTTTTGTCATATCATTTCATTGTGCTTTTTCCTCACCTTTTTCCACAGGTACATGTTGGTCATTACCGGAGGCTATATTCAGAGGAGATAAATCAAATCAGTTTTCCATCTGTTGTTCCTGAGTGTTTGCTATCTTCTCTCGAGTTTGTTGATTTTAAATTCTCGATCAAGGGATGTACTGAAGAAATGAAGCTAGTAAGTTACTTTCTAGAGAATTCAGCACTCCTCAAAAAACTCACTCTACGATTGGCTAGTCCTACATTAAAAAGATGAAGTGTTTAAGAAAATCTTCAAAATCCCAAGAGCCTCTACCAAATGTGAAGTTGTCATCCTCTGATTGTGAGAGTAGAGGAAACATGTGAGGTTTTTTTTTTATTTGATATTTGATATGTATGGAGTTGGTTAAGTTAAACCGGTAACGTTATACAAAAATAATGTGAAATTGGAGGCTCGTAGCCTGACTAGTTTACTTAAAATTGTTTTCACTCGAGGAGAATTTTAATTAGGTTGGTTAATGCGTGCTACATTTTGTTACTCCGATCTGAATGTTGCCAAATCAAATACTTAAAAGGAGGCTAACTCTCTCCATGAGAGTGACATGTCAGCATTTTTAGCTATTGTGGAGCTGACACATCAGATTTCTAGACATCCAATCAAAACATTTCGTTAATATGAGTCAGCTTTAATTTTTTACACATCAGCATCTAATTATGTAGGCCTGGGCGTTCGGTTTACTTAGGTTAATCGGTTCTGTTTATTCGGTTTTTTGATTGTTCGGTTATTTCAAAATCTTGCCGAATTGAACCGAACAAAAAAAAGGTTTGGTTCGCTTGTCGGTTTTATCGGTTCGGTTATATGCTTTAAAATCTCATCCGAATTGAACCGAAATTTTTTTTCCTCGGTTAATTCGGTTTATTTTCGGTTAACCGGAAATAAAAACAAGCCCACCAAAAAAATAACATGCCAATTAACATATTTACAACTTAATAACAAACCTATAATATATTACAAGTCCAATAGCAAATTTACATCTTTACAACAGGCCCAAATACATTAATAATTTGGCTTTTCGAGTAAATGTAAGGTTGTCGACGGTGACAACACGATGACGGTAACGACACGACGACGGTGAAATACACTAACAGAATGAATTCTCGAGGCTCCTGCAATCATCACAACCGTTCAATAATCAAGACACCATCATAATCCATCAATGTAAACATTTTATGATCAAAGTCATCATCATAAACCAACAATAATAGGAGATAATGTTATTACGTCGATGGTATCAGGAAGAGTAACCTTTAAAGACTAGACGACGCTCTCAAAATTGAAGGATCCCCACTGATGCAAAGCCGTATCTTATTCTAGGAGAGGCAGAAGAAAAAACGGCTACAAATGGAAGAGGAGACGCTAAGATCTAGGGTTTTATTTTATGTAAGGAGAAGCGGCTGCAAAGATATCAACGATAGATCTAGGTTTTTTATGCTAAAGAACTGGGCTGGGCTTTGTGTTTTATAAGTTATTGGATTGTATTTTATTAATTTTTAATGTCAGTTTGTTTTAGTGGGTTTAGAAAATAATTATAATAAATGGGTTGGGCTTTCGATTGTTGTTTGTTTATAATTTCAAGTTTAAAGCCCAGCCATAGTAAATATTACTTAGGGTTTTCGTCTGTCGTCTCTCCCATCAGTTTCACGCGGCGGCTCCATGAAGAAACAGAGTAACAGACTGGTGAAGGAGAACAAAATCGGTGCAGCTTCCTAAACTCATGGTTAGTGGACCATTAAATACTTTCACATTCAGTACATTACTATTGAAACGTTATGATCTCTCATTTCCTTTCAATTTAATACTCATTTAATAGATAATAGTGGGTATTTTAACTCACACAAAATAAAAACACTATATATACATTATTATCCACTCTTTAAATCCTGACGTAAAAATATAGCCTAATAACAAAACCTACTCCATATCACTTACAAGCAAAATGTCTCTCATGAATGCTCCTAATCAAAATCTAGCTACCTATGTTGCATTTGATGATTTACAACTTGGAATTCATGCTCAACATGTTGTTGCTCGTATTGTTAGAATGTGGGAAGTTCACACGGAAGTACGTACCGTCACCGACCGTCATGTATTTCTCGGCCATTCACTCCTCCTGCTTGATGAGAAGGTATCCTTGTCCATTTAGTAGGAAAAAACAATTATATATTTTTCATTAATCTCTTCTCCATAAACTTCCAAATCTAACTACGTATCTCTTTAAACAGAATTCTGCAACTCATTGCTTCATCCCTGCATCACTAGCTGAAAAATACAATGGTATTTTCAAAGAAGGAATAATCTTACAAATTCAAGGGTTCGAAGTTAGGCCATGCACTAAACACAACAAAATCACAGACCATCCTTTTGTTATCAAATTCAACAATGAAACCACATTCATTGTCGAAAAAGAATCATGGCTGAAGATAGCAAAAGAAAAATTCAGAGTTCACAATCATGCTCATTTGGTTGGTCTTGCCAACACAAATCTTGCTTTGCCTGGTAAATTTTAACTTTTCATGATTTCCAATTTAATAATTTTTGTCTACTAAACAAAAGTTTAAGCTTTTTAACCAACCAAATATTTAAAACAACATGCTTTTAAATATTGCTTTCATATTGCCTGTTCTTTGGTTTTAACATATTTCCAACTCAATACAGATGTTGTAGGAAAAATAATTTCAATCCAAGGTTCAAACCTTTGTGACCCAACTTCAACAAACCAAATTGTTGTTAATTTATGGCTCCAACCGTAAGTTTCAAATCTTATATTCAAACATAATTGTTTCTAACCTTTCTATTATCTCTTTCCCAAAAACAAATTAATCACTTTGATCTTCATACAGAAATGTAATTGTCTCCTTGTCTCTTTGGGGTAAAACTGCTTCTCGCCTTCGAGCCATCCTATCTGGTCCAATCTCTTTAACATCTGTTGTTTTGGTAACAGCTGTTAATCCAACAATTCTTGATGGTACGACTATTTTCCCAAACCAAAAAATAAATCCATATTTCCATTAAGCAATAATGTATTTGGTGTTCTAAATTAGCTTTACATGCAGGGACACTTTTCTTGGATGGAACAATATACACACGGTTTTTTTTCAACCAACACATTGCGCCAATCTCTAAGTTTACTAATTGGTAAGTCTATTTAAAAATTTACCCACTTTTTAAAATAAAATAAAAAAACTAATAAAAACAAAACCTCTCTTCTTAAGTTTTGCTGTTTCAGGAAACCAAACATTTACCATCATCGACGTAGGAGCAAACACCCCAAAAATACAAACAACGTATATTGCAAAATTGTGCGAATTCACTTCAAAAAGAGTTCAACAGGTATGTCTCACTTTTAGCCATCTAGGAAAAAGAAACTAATCTAATTAAAACACACAATCACAATGAAATGTAGGATGCATACTTTCTATGTCAAGCTACAGTTGTGGATGTCTTATCAACATATGGCTGGAACAACATGACATGCACTACTTGTCTAGGGACTCTGGAACCACACCAAAATTCACTTCTTTGTAGTAACTGCCAAGACACCAACGTTTACACAAATGACAGGTCGCATATCAATTCTTTAAACTAGATATACATTTCACTTGAAAACAAATATCTAATATAGCGTTATATATATTACAGGTTTCATGTCGCATTAGCTGTTTTAGACGGTAGTGATATAGCAACATTTATTGTATCAAATTATGACCTAATGCATCTAATATGTCCAATTTCATATGGAAAGTTGCACACTAAGGTAAACCAAATTTAAAACCATATTTTATAGTACATTTCAAATGGTTTTATACTAATATCTAACTCTTTTGGTTTCCAATTTGTTTACCCTATTTAGGTGAATGAAACCATCTTTCCAGACCTGTCTACATACATGGATGACCTCATAGGAAATCATTTTCTTTTCGAAATCAAAATCACTGCCTTCAATTTTTCAGAAGTTAACCGTAGCTTCACAGTAGCTAGGATTCCCAATTTTCCGGGTCAGGCTCAAGTAAGAACTGTCATATATTATTCCTCTTCTAAATTTTATTTACCATTTCATAAAAATTTAAAACAACTGAAAGGAGTATAATTATCCAGAAAACCTTCTCGTTGGGCACCCAAGACCTTCCATGACAGCCCTGATTTACTAATGAGCTTCAACACCAAAGATGGAGGCGTACAAGATTTTTTCATTTTCGGCTGTTGGATCACTAAGAAGAAACATTGTCGTCCTTTTACGTTGTAGTTCTTCTTTTCTATTACCGTCTTTCTATCAAACATTGCTAAACAGTTGTTATTCCCAATTCACATTATTACTCCATATTTTGAATTATATCGTATCCTTTTATTTGATCAGGAAAATAAAACCTTCTTTATATATACTACAAAACAAAAGAAGCATCAGCTTAATACCATATATCATATTTATTTATTCCGCATAAAATAAAAACCCACCAACAACAAAACAAGGGCAGACACTAACATCGAAACATCTACTTTCAATATTTAAGAACCAGTTTATAGTTGACATCTTCAGTTGGATATAATTATGACCTCCATATATAGTATTTCATTGCTACATACCTACTTATGATCAATCAAAACCCCTTTTCAAACTCTAATCCACTATTTTTCCCGTATATTATAAGCCACACAGTTTAGTCAAATAGATATAAAAAAGTCAAACCAAGGAATTTAACTTATACAAATGTAAATCGAGAACTTAATAATTGTATTCTCATTAGTAATAGTACAAAGCCCTTAACTGACAATGTATATAATTTATTGAGCAACTAATTCAATAACCAGCTGGCGTAAAAAACAAAAAAAAAACCAAAAAAAATTCAATAATCAGTCTGTAATTCGTATTTTCCAAATCGTACAAATTGCTTTACCAACGTTGCCACAACCACACTATATCTTTGACGGCACCAATTCAAAACTGTCCTTATAAAATTTCAGAAAGAAATAATCAAATTACTATCCTCCTCAAAAAACAATAACGATTTTAAATCTTTATAAAAAAATAACAGGTACCACTTGTGATCCCCGTCGAACCAAAACAGGTCAAATTTAAATATTTAAAGACAAACTGTTTAGTGGGAATATTGTAATTTTGAAATTTATTCCATATAGTAAATTTATGATTTAAATAACAGCCATCCTTCTAATCTATATATGGACCCGATGAAGAAAATAGTTAATGGTTACTCCAAATATATTCGAAATAAATGGAAATGAATATCACTAAGGGGTCTCGCCCACTAATCTGAACATTCAATTCGTAACATAAATTAGTAATTATTGAAACGAGGTAGTAAATTACTCATTTATTCATATGCCCACGATTTCACCTTCTTAAAAAAACCGTTTAAAAAAACGTTTTCTGGAAATCTAAAAAGAGTATCTCATAGTTTATTTCGCTTATTAAATCATCCTGAAATTACGGCCAATTTAATTTACTAAATAATAAAGCAATCGTTCCTAATAACATGTTACACACATTAGTATTAAATGTCCTGCTATATATATATATAACTGGCCACCAATCATTCATCACTCTCCAAGTTTTTACGAATGAGTAGCAGAGTAAGCACATCATTCTCATCATTCTTTACCATCAACCCTTTTCTGACTATGAAATGTACTACTTTAAAATTCACAATACATACTTATGTTGTAAACTCTAATATCTTATCTTCTTCGTATTGCAGGAACATAACAAAATGACTGGAAAACAAAGAGCATCTAAACTAAGACAACATCAAGCCAAACCTCTTGGAACTGAAAATTCAACACCGCTTGATGCCCTTCCTCGAGATGTTATTTCAAAAATAATTGGAATTGTCGGCCAGACATCTCGTGCAGATATTTCTAATTGCCTACTCACTTGCAAGGAAATCGGAAAATCAGTTGATGATGTCCAAGTTTTCAAAAGGTTGGAACTGCAAATGCTTCAGAGGCAGCCGTTGCTTGCTGTTGGGAACTACACTGACCTAATGATGAAATGCCTAATCCACGCTAACCCCACCGCTCACTATGTTCAAGGAGTGCTTGAATATTTTTATTACGACAATACAATTGCTGGGTTACATTTTTTGGAAAAAGCTGCCAATGCCCCATCCCCTATCAACGAGGCTATTTATCTAACTGGGATGATTAATTTGTGCAGTGGTGAGTTTGAAATTGGGAAAAAATATATTGACCACCTGCTGAGGAACACGAATGAATCTGTAGTTGAAGAATGCTGGGAAAAAATCAAAACTGCACTCCATGGAATTGGGATTCTGAGGAAGCAAGAATATATCAACTCACTATGGGCAATGATGCCACCATACATGTGTAACATAAATGACATGCAAAACACATGCGAGAAATGCTTCCACTACAAGCTAATGGTCAAATTTGTTTTCATGATGTAAGAAGGGGAAAAAAAACCAGTTTAAAAGCCGTTTTTATTATTTGATAACAAAATGTGTTTATTTTCGCTTGCTTTTCCCAGTAATCATGTTTGAACGTCTGTTTTCTATATTCTAATAATAATGTTTCTTTCACTAATACTTTATTAGCTACTATCTAAACACTTTATTCCAAAAAACAAGTAATAAAAAAAACACAAACAAAAAATATCATACCACAGTTCATACCAAACACATTTACAACAAATGATATTGAACACACACATGCAATGATGCAAACTGATCTGATATAAACAATTCCTACTGAAAAAATAACAAAATCAACATTATTGTCATTTAATATTCAAATTATTAAAAATGAATATTTTGCTGTTAATAATAATTAAAAAAGACATTAACTTATTAAAAAAAAAACAATCATTTACCGGCTATAATGTTTCATCATATATTATGGTAATTTTCAAAAAAAAAAAAAAGCCTCCGTTAACCACACACCTTACAATTCATATTAACTGATAAAAAATGATCAAAAAATGAGAATAACCATGCATTATACCATCCTCAAAGTAATTAACAACATCTGGTTATGTACTTTTAAACGAACAGTAACCTTCCATAATTTAAATCATGTTTCCTCAAACCATTGAAATATCTGAAGTAACAAAAAAAGAATAAATAACTTAAAATCTTAGTCACAGTGTATCTACATTTGTTAAATAGATAACCATCAAAACGATAGTATGGAATGTAACGCAAACTATATATTGAAAAGTTTATCCGTCTGTAGAGTTTACTTTGGAACAAAGGTAACCTCAATAATATTTCATAAAATAAAAAAAAAAAGAGTAAAAAAATATTTCAATTAATATATCAATTCAAAAAAAATGTGTACTCTAAAACTTGGTTATGTACATTCTGTCTTCTATTAATTGCATTAAACTTAGATAAGTATAACATTCTGCAATCTTATATACCCATTAGTTTAGTTAAAACCACACCTACGCTTTAAAAATGTGTCCAATACAAATATATGTAAATAATTTATTTAAATAATTAGATACTAAAACAATCCTTTACTACAAAAATACAACCCAGTTCCCAATAAGAATCTTATTTAAAAAAAAAAAACTTATTTAAAAATAATATTTTTTTTAATATTCCACATCGTAATAAAAAACCTACAAATTGGAGACTGTGAAAACTATAACTTCAGATTTCCGTACCATTAATTTAAAATTTAATAAGTTTTAAAAATCCGTTTAAGCAACACCTCCCACTAGAGATGGTATTAATTACAAATGTATTAAAGAAATACACATTAAATCACATGCCTACAGGAGACGAAATTGCAGGGCTTATTGTTGGGAATATAGAATCAACTACTGGCGAACGAGATGTGATTGTTCAAAGCAAATCTGACCACCTACTACGGATCAACACTCTTCACCAACACTACATGGCGTTGCAATACCCATTACTATTCCCATATGGAGAAAGTGGTTTTCAATTGAATATCCCATATAGACCTGAAGGCAATAAAATAAAAAGAGAAGACGTGACTATACGTGAGTACTACGCTTACCAGCTCCAAACAAGGTTATCTGAAGGTAAAACACTAATTTTAGGAGGACGGTTACTGCACCAATATATTGTCGATGCATATACAGCTGTAGAAGAAGAACGTCTGAGGTTTCATAGAAATAATCAAAAACAACTTAGAGCAGATCTTTATAACAATGTATACGATGCGATTGGAAGAGGAGATACAGATTCAAAGGAAATTGGTAAGAAGATAATTTTACCATCATCATTTACCGGAGGACCAAGATACATGGTCGAGAATTACCATGACG